ATGATTCTATGATCCTATGATTCTATGTTAAAATAATAAAGCTTTAATTGTAACTACAACTTAGTGCCGTCATCATTCTGCCAAGGATCCCCAAAAGAACCTGTCTGTCCCCGCAGTGTTGGGTGACAGCCGTATGGCAGGCACATACATTTCTGCTGTAAAGTAAAGGAATTTGACCTGACTGCTCCAAACTCTACACAGACACCTTATAATAAGACTAGTGAGACAGTTTTTGGGTACCAGGCTGAAATAGATGTGTAAATGATTGTGGGCTTCAAGAATTAAATCCAGAGCCAAACTGAGGGAACTAGATGAAGAACAAGAAATTAAGAAAACTTCCCATTTCCTTGGAGAATTCAATTATTGAAAAGAAACATGACTGACCTGAGGCAAGGACTTGTCCCCACACGCGTGCATTTTCAGTTTCATTAATGCCACTTTTGCTGCTGTCTCACTGTTTCTTGCTCCTTTACGTTTTTTGCTTTTTGCTTCCTCATTTTTTTTAGAATCTAAGAACAATATTACTCCTGTTAGTGTGACGACTCAGATCTTGGAATTAGCCTATTGGGCCTCATTGTATCTCCAAGGTTCCCATCCCTTTCACGTCCTCCCAAGCCCATGATATCAGGTACTCCTATTCAAGAATATTTGGAATTGTTACAGTTCTAGTAGAACTCCTTTACATTGAAAAACAGATGAACACTATCACAAAGTAAATACAGGTTGCAAAAGCCAAATAGATACAAATTCCTGAGTTTCTACACCTGTGGCCATCACAGCATTCATATGGCAACAGTTTCAGGTCCTCTCTACACATAACCCCACTGTCCAGTTAGGCAGTGCTGTTTATTCTCTTTCCTGTCCTAGAGCTTGTTTAAAAGCTGCAAAACATTACATTGTAGACTCACATTTTTTTGCTCTCTTAGTTGTGTAGGTATAATCCCAGCAGACTGGCATGCGCACCCAATACAATACAATTGCATTATCTGCACATGAATTAATATGCAAATAATAATGGCTAGGTACAATTCATTACATTATAGTACGTGTAGAATGAGAACAAGACAATAATTCTGAAAGAAACCTGAGCCTTATTTAATCTTTAAAGATTCTCTTTATAGACATATGCTACTGTTGTCTTCTCTCAGTCTAGATGAACAGTATTACATGCTGACGTGAATTTAGGGCTATTTAAACAAGGAACCCCCATCCTTTCTTCTTATTTGGTCAAACCTGAACCCTCAGAGGAGGTCACAAGCTCAAATAGCCTTCTGAAGAAAATTGTAGAATACATATCCCACTGTACTTGCCTATAATATGTTTAACTAGCTGCTGAGTGGCAGCCATTCGAGGTTTTGGTGTGTCCAGTTTCTCACATTCATGGTCTGATTGATGCCGGTGTCTGTAAACAACAGCGTAAAACTTTTATTACCTTTTCCATACACTAATGAATAAGTATTGATGTTTAAACACTCTGTTCCACTCACCTTAGACAAAAATGTTTTTCACAATAGGGACATAAAACTGGCAAAAGCTCCTTTCCGTTGCAGCCCTTGTATGAGCATGGGTAAGATCTGTGCTGATCTGGTTTCACAGAATTGTTTCTTATATTCACCTAGGCATTAGTACAAAATATTTTGTGTAAATAAACAGATATTACAGATACAAGTCACCACGCCAGCTTTCCAAAAGAACTGTGCTAGCTCTCCATTCTATGGGCAAAACTAGTCCAGCAATTCTCTCCTAATTTTGTCCTGGTTAAGTTTAGCTCAGAGTTAGGAAAAGAACCGTCATCCTACTCAAACTGAATTTACTTCTGACTGGCAGAAAAAGAGTAGATTCGTTTTTTTAAGCTTGTCACATTCTCAGTTAAATAATTCATACTTACACACGATGTGTATATATCTAACCTGAAAATAAACAGTTAAGTTGCACGGAATTTTAATTTTAAGGTAGTCATATATTGTTAGATTACCTCTGAACACCCATGAGCATCCCGGCTCCTGTGCTGAAGACTTTGTGGCAAAAGAAGAAAATATCATACCATTATCAACATTTCAGCAAAAGAAAACTGCATGTGAAAACATTTAAGTGTTTAAAGAGTGATCTGACAAGTTTTATCATGGGAACACTTCAATTAAATAATGAATCTTCTCCAAAATTTGTTCTAACATATGCATTTCACATCTTGATTGATCGTATTGTTCCTGAGTATGTAAAACATTTAGCGCTTGGAACTTAAGCCCCAAGATAACAAACCATTTCAAGAGAATAAGAACATTAGCATGCTTAAGAATTCAGCTCAAAGCAACTGGAGTTTGTCTGTTTTAATGGATTTAGCATCACCTTCCACAACAGCAGAAATCCCCTGAAGGCTTCTAACATGTTAAAAGTTAAATCTGCCCTCAGTTTATCTGAGCTTATCTCAGCTGCCCTCTGCTAATCTGAAGTGTAAATCAAACTGCAGACCCCGATTTGAACCTTGGAAGAAACTTCAATTTTTTTTCTACATGAAAAAATACTGCCCCCCCCCCCAAAAAAAAAAAAATCACTACAAAACAGGGTCTAAGCTAGATGCCTTCCAAAATAATCTACCTGTATTCTGGAGATATTCGCACTGATTTCAAAGCTCCACAACAGCTGCTTGGGAAAAATGTGGCAAGTTCAGTGAAACAATTATTTTTAAATTAAATTTACCTGAATTCAGTCACAGAATGTTTTATACAACACTTAGGTCTACACAACTGCCACACTGAGATCTTACATGAAAACCAACTGAATTTCCTTTTACAACAAGGTCACCCATCTAGTTGATGTAGGGAACCCAGCAGATGTGGTGTTTTGGGATTTTAGCAAAGCTTTTGATACTCTCACAGTATCCTTCTGGATAAAATGTCCAGCACATAGCTAGACAAGTCCATAATATGTTAGGTGAGCAACTGGCTGATGGGTCGGGCTCAAATAGTAAATGCGGTTACATCAGGCTGGTGGTCAGTCACCAGTAGGGTTCCCCAGGGCTCGATTTTAGGGCCCGTGCTCTTTAATGTTTTTATAAATGTTATGGACAAAGG